CTACTAGCGATGGCCTCCAACCTACTAGCGATGGCCTCCAACCTACTAGCGATGGCCTCCAACCTAGTAGCGATGGCCACCAGCCTACTAGCGATGGCCTCCAACCTACCAAGCGATGGCCTCCAAACTACTAGCGATGGCCTCCAACCTAGTAGCGATGGCCTCCAACCTACTAGCGATGGCCTCCAACCTACTAGCGATTGCCTCCCACCTACTAGCGATGGCCTCCAGCCTACTAGCGATGGCCTCCAACCTATACTAGCGATGGCCTCCAACCTACTAGGGATGGCCTCCAGCCTACTAAGCAATACATCCAACCTTGAGAGATGACCGCACTTTTTGCAACCCCCTTGACCTTTTTCCCACCCCGATGAGTTCGAAGAATGGTGCAGTTCTCACACGTCGTGAGCCTTGCCTGTCAGGCCTTTGTCACTTGGATATTGGAGCAGAGCGGCGAGGACAGCCGGGACGTGTCAGTGCCTCAGGATGCCTCAGGATGGACCTTTGGACCGTTTTCAAGTGGTGGAAACTCGAAGAGTCTCTTTTCAATACGTCTTTTGTTTTCCATTATGTTTTTCCTTTATTGTTTTTTTCAATTTTTACTTGTAGCTTCCCTTTCAATATAAAGTACGTTTTTCTTTTTTCCTTATCTCCTTGTCGTTCCCTTTTCCTTTTCTGCAAGCAAGGACTGGGAGGACTGGGACCGGACTTGCTATTATTAATTTTTAAACATATTCTTATGTTTTCGCATGGTTTCAGCGTTTTCTTTGTAACACTCCGGGGTTGACTTTGGGGTGGGTGGTCCAGGTGATAGGCACCTAGACCGCTAGACCGCTAGGCAAAGACTAAATCTGAACTGAGAGGGGGACACTGAGGGTCTCCCAGCACTTGGATGTTGGTGACAAGAATTGATGCTTTAGATAGAAGAACTGTCAGACGTTCAGGTTCCTGCAGCAAGAAGTGGAGGCGGGAAAGGTTTTGGTCAGAAACAGACTGAATTGAAAAAGCAAGACATGTGGTTTGCCCGTGCTTCCTGTGGGTCTGCGTTTGCAGTAGCAAGTATCAACCTACTAGCGGTGGCCTCCAACTGGAGCCTCCATGCGTCGATTTCCGTCGAAGCTGGTCAACGCTCGACTTTGTGTGCCTGTTTTTTCGCGAAACGCGATGTCTGCGCGCCACAGGCGATGTTCACACATCTCGATTCGGACAAGAGCGGTGACCTTACTGAGAAAAAGTTCCAGGCGCGAAGCTGCCGCCTAGTAGTAGTAACAAGTGCCTTACTAGTAGTAACAAGAAGCTATTAGAAACAA